CATATACAGATTCATTTGCAAACATACATACATACACACACACACACACACACACATATATATATATAAAATATAGATATGAAATTATATCCATCATACATATATACAAATATAAATATGTGAATATATATACATACACACACACACACACACACACACACATATATATATATATATATATATGTATGTGTGTGTGTACGAAGTCTAGAATGTATGCCGGCTGTTAAATAGATAATCATTTGTAATTGATCTTCTCAGGTTAAGTTTAATACATACAGGCGCCATAGCTCAACTTACCATCACAAGACGAGCACCAGAGTTGTCGATGACATTCAGCCGCGTTAGTAAACTAATCATTTTGTTTATAGTACAATTACAACCACTGAACTATAAAGAGTTATGTACGTTGAGATCTTGATGCTGTTGAGGGTGTATGAGGCTTCGCACGATGCCAACACTATGTGCACGGGTATCACACACCAATACTATACTAGTTTATATATATATATTTAGATTCTAGTACATCAATTTGTATTTAAAGTAATGGTATTATATGTATTTTGTTGTGGGATGCTTGTTGAGCGTAAATAAAAAATACAAGCCCGCCAAAATGTCTATCGTGCGGTACTTCGGACCAAAAAAGTAATAAATCTATAAAAAACGTGCTCGTGAGTCGTGTGCGTCGGGCCAGGTTTTTTTGGGGTTAAAATATGATATAGTATTGACATTAGAGAGACAAGCATAGATGGATAGTGATAGTGTATTTATTATTGAGTGAGTGACCTGTACTTATAAAATATAATTAAGTAGTGTGTTGTCTGGGCGTATATAGAGTGGACAGATACTTCCTATATACGGTCATATATAAACTATAACCATTTTCTCTATATACATACATACATATATGCACCATGTCGGAAACCACACCCAACGACACACCACCGGTCTCAGAGACCACCGGAAACACAAAAACAATGCTCAGCGATTCAGAGATGTTGGAACTTACAAAGACAGAAAGCAGTGCAAATCCCTTGCCAACGGTCAATGTGGGTGGGACCCCATTCCAGGTATGGCAAGGTTCGGGTATATACTGGTGTACGATAAGTTGTTTAAGTCATGTCTCTCGCTATATAAATAGTCGAGATGAATTTGAATATACACAGTTCAATATAATATATACATACACACACACACACACACACACACTATATATATATATATATATATATATATATATATATATATATATGCATACAATCATACATACATACATACATACATACATACATACATACATACATACATACGTACATACATACATACATTTACATACATACACACACTCATACACACACACACACACCTATAT